AACATCAGTACCATGCTATAAGTGTTATAAAATTAAGATGTAAAAGAAAGAGAAAGTAAACAATCAAGTCTTTCTAGAAGGGAAAGTTATTCATGGGAGAATTAACAATGGGGATAGTATTTAAGCTGTGCCTTTTTTTTTTAAGTATATGATTTTTATCAAGTGGAGATAGAGAGAAGGCAGTCTTCCAAAGAAGAGAGGAAGGTACAAGTAAAGTCATACTTAGGGAATTCTGAGTTCCCTAGAGAATTTGAAAAACAGAAGGTAGGGTAATAGGGGGAGGTAAAAGGTGACATTAGAAACAAAAATAAAGGAAAAATTGTGAAGGAACTTACTTGCCAAGCAGTTTAGACTTTAAACCTGCACCAAACAATACAATAAGTAAAATAGTCTTTAAAGGAGGGAATGAAATATTAGCCCTTGATAATAATTTACTGTTTGTTTATTCTTATAGCCCCACCCCCTTTTCATTGTACACTCCATAAGAGCAGGAATCTTGTATTGATTGAGGATGTTTCTCCAGAAACTGGAAGAGTACTTGATACATAGTAGGACTTTAAAAATATATATTTGATGTATTACTGAATGTTCAAAATGACGGTTATATAAGCATTAGTAAGTACAACTTGTAAACAAGTAGTAAATCCAAGAAGAGAAAACAAAGGTGCAATGTGAACAGTGATAACAGATGTTGGATAGAATCAGCACAACTTCCTAACTTATGGGCCAATAGGGGTTTGATAAAATGAGAGGACCAGTATTACAATAAGCTTTCAAACCGGGTAACTAGATAAATGGTGAAGTTCTAACCATTTCAGGAACATGGGAGGAAAAGAAAGTTCAGGGGAAATGTTAAAACTTTGGGTTCAGACTCACTGAGGAAAAGATTCATTTGGGACAGGACAAGATCTGACAATCACCAGGCAAGACTTTAAGAGGAAAACAATTCCCAATTTTAGTACTTATCTCGTGAAGAAAAATTATTATTTAAAACTTTGTTCAAATTTATGTCATCTACAGATTTTGAATGCTTTAGAAGGATAAGGAAATTATTTCATTTATTATCAAACCCATTGGAGACTATAATAATGATTTACTATCTCTACAGCAGAAACGGGGGAGGTAGAAATAGATTAAATTAAATAACTGGCTCAAAAAGTCCTAAATTGCAACTGCGGGGGAAAAAATACAAGCAACCTGACTGTTAATCCAAGTCACGGCCACAAAATTTATTACGTGGTAGACAAAATATAGACATAATATAAATTAAACTATAATTGATCTAAATCTGCTAGATGGGGTTGTTGAGATTTATTTATATTATTTATATTACTGACTATACATTAGAAATTGCCAAACTGATACAAAATACTACATTTAGCACAAACTCATTATACATATATGAAAATGTTAAATCTCTGTAATCCCCTACTTTCACAAATCTTCTCTGAGGCCAAAAAAACACAAAGTCCACATTTCCCTTGCAAAATATTTCACCCAAGATTTCCCTGGAATATTTAGACAATACCTTTCTTTTGTTTTCTCTAACAATAGCAAAAGAAAAGTATATAGTTTTATCATCACATGGTTTCTCAATACCACCTATGTCAAAATCATCTGAGTAGTGGGAAGCTGAGAATTTGAAAAAGATTCACTAATTAGTAGTCCATAAAAGTCCTGATTAAAGAAAAGAATTGTTCTGAAAGAAAAGGATGATATGGGGTTTTGTGATTCATTGTGTTCATAATATAAATAAGTGATTTCTTACAGAATCTTGCTTCTATTACAGTTTAAAAATCTGTAACCATTTCTGGTCTGTTAATGAGAGAAAACCAAAGAAGTTCACTTTTTGTGTGACTTGAAGTGATTTTGAAGATCTCTTATCAAACTGATGAAGCTTCTAAAAAAATCTAAGAATTCTGAGACTTGACTAACACTCAAGAATCCTGGATTTTGTCCATTGATTTCAGTACAATACAAATACTAGATTGATTCTGTGGCATAAGTCACAAGGGGTAGCAGCTAATATTTTAAAAAGGAAATAAGCTGAAATATTTTGAAAATACAAGAGAATTACCTCCAAAAGAGCAATAATGCAATATATAACTTTTACATATTTAAAAATAAGACAGACACTCGTACCAATAGACTTCTCTCAGCCTACCACATATTTGAAGACTGCCATCCTAACTTTCATAATTTCCCTTAAACTTATCTTTTATCTCGACTATAAAATGTAATCATGGACTCGAGTTGCTTATAATCCCAACAGCATAACGAACTTCCCTATAGAAATGCATTAAGAAACAAATTACAGGGTAGATGCCAACAATATTTTTTAAAGCAACTCTAGTTTAATAACAGCTGCTGACAATTGATGCTACTGCACAAAACACAAAAGATACAAAGCTCAGATGTGAAACTTCTAATTCACAAGAAAGTGGGGGAGTCTTCATTTGACTTTGTTATCTTTAATGAGATGAAACTTGTCACTGATGGATTTTAAGATTGCATAAAGTATCTCCCAACGAGTTATAGATAGAACTAATTTCAAAGTACTTTGCGTTTACATAGATCAGAATCTGGCTGAAATATTTCAGTGTTATTCTCTTAAGAATTGTGAAATCCACAAGAAGTATCAATTTTTTGTTTCTGTGAAGCACCTACTCTGCTCAGCTCTGTGGGATCTGACTTCGAAAAGCCTAATGAATGGCGTTTACAAACATCTATCAGAAGATAAGAAAGAAAAACAACCTAATAAAACCAGGCACAACATTTCCTATTGCAGACAGTGGATGTGATGGGAATGCAACTTTGGAAACATCACTTTGGGGAACTTTCAAGGAAAAGATGCAATGTATAAATTCTGGAGAGGTATGGGTTTGGGCTAGGAAGGAAAGCAAGCTGAGAAATAATCCTGTCAGAAGAATACCAGAAAAAGAAAGGTAGGAGGAGACAAGATTAAACAAGTTTAGGTGATCATGACAACTAGTGGAGCAGGAGATGATCGGGCTAGTTGGGACAGATGAAGTGCATCACTGGACAGGATTGACTAGCATAATGAGCCTCACAGCTTTGATCTATAAAACACGTCGGAGAGGCATCTATGGCATAAAGGTTAAGAGCTTACATTCTGAGACAGACTGCCTGACACTGACACATATGGCTGTTTGACTTTGGGCAAGTAGTTTTTCTATCCCTCAATTTCCTTACCTGTGTAATGGACCTAATAGTATGTGTGTGTCAACACAAGTATTAACTAGTAGTATGTATCAATACAAGTGGAATGATTGCAAGCTTTTTATTTGTAAGACTGATTTCTTAGGAAGAGGATGAATATTTTTGCAACATGTTTTTTAGGAACTGTTTGGCAGCAGTAGTCAAGGTAGACTGAGCAGGTATGACTACAGGCAGGAGAGTAACACAGGCAGTTACTGCAATAACCCCACTTTTCCCCTTAACAGATATAATCCATTATAATTCAAACTGAAGTATTGGTCTCAGAATTTTTATATTTAAGTATAAAAATGACCTTTTATTTTCCCTACTTTGCTAATCAGGTTTTTTGCATCAGGCCCCTATGGCCAGGTTCTTCTAAAACCAATAGCCAAATAAATGATTTCATGACAAACTTTCAGATTTAAAACCAGGATCTTCTAGATCCTTGCCTTCAGTAATGCTGAACAGTTCATTTGACCTCAATAGTTTCTGGTAAAAGTTCTTTATCTATATTTGGGTGAAATTAATGACTTTGAGAAACATTATAAAAATCCATCAAAATGGAAAACTTCTTTGGGTTCTAATTCTGTTCATGATAAATTGAAAACTTTATTACTACATTTAACCTTTAGCACATCTTTCTTTAAAATACAGATTCAAATGTAAAATATAGCATTTGCAGGCATTGTAATTTGTTACGGTCATCCTTTCTAACCTGTGAGGCTTTGAGTTCATAAAAGGGACATGAATTATAATATGAGATCTAATATTTCCATCACCGGTACACATCATTTCTTTTCAGATCTTTGTACTCATGAGGAAAAAACTGTGCAGAGATTAGAATGATTTACTAAAAATTTCAATGAAAAGCAAGAAATATAGAAGTAAAAAGTAAATATGTCATATATGTTTATTTCAGGTAAATATAATTTTCCCTTCATTTGAAATGAATTTATCTTTTAAACTTGGGCAATCTGGCAGAACAAATAGATTCTCTTCTTTGAAACAAATCAAAGTTATTTATGTTGAATATTCTACCTAAGAGGTATATTGGGAACTGTAACAATTGCAAATATATATGATAAAAAAGAAATAAATGATGCTCAGTTTCGGATTTTAGCTTCTGCACTAGACTACAAAATCAGTTACTTATTTTTCATGTACTGTCAGTATTGTTTTGTTGATCTAATTTACATTCAATAAAGAGAAAATCAAGAACTGTTACAAATCCCAACAACTTTGTATCATTCATCAATCTGCTTTTTTCTACTTAAAAGCCCTTAAAAGCAAATGGCTTATAATTTCTTATAGAGAATTTATGAATTTCTCCTTTCTGCTTTGCCTTAGGAATATTTCAGAATTGCCCAGTCTAATGTAATGCAGGCATAATTAGTGCACCACTGTAGAAGTTCTATCCAAGCTGCTTCAGTAGCTGCTTAAATCCCGACTTTAGCTTGTTGATGACTATCTTTTAAGGAAAAGCTCAGGACAAAAAGTATATAATCTAGACAAATGATTTAAAGGGCTTCACTAAAGGAAATGCTTAATTCCTCTGTAATTCATATTTTAATTCATGTTCTTTTTGTGAAACCAAAGGAAATAATCTTATAAAGAAATGGAGAGATGCCTATGTATGAGTACTTTTATAGAAGCATGTTGGAAAATGAAGTTCCTATTAATAAAATACAAATAATTTAGCTGCCACAGCTGGAAGTCTCTAACTGCAGCACATATTTCTGTAATTGCTCTAATCCTTGTGTGTTCTCTTGCTCTTTTTGCAGGCAGGCCAGTAATGATTGTGGTGGAATATATGGAGAATGGATCCCTAGACTCCTTTCTGCGGGTGAGGTGTTCTTTTCTGATGTCATTTAAATAAGCTATTCTGAGATCTAGATTTAAAACATTTTTCATAAATTAATTTTTGCATAATGGTATTCATGGATTTTTCCATGAAGAATAGCAGCATTTTCTCTAAGGTGCATTTCTCTGATACTGTGATACATTAGAATGTTACTAAGGGGGTAGAATATACACATAATAATAAAATTGATTTCTCCTATAAATTCACTTGCAATATTAGCATATATACATATATATTGCAAATGACATTATAAAGAAAGATTAAATGAAACTCAGTTGCCTCACATAGCCATTCATTTTGCTTTATCACATTACTATTTAGTATGGTATTTTACATTTTATCTATAATGCTGAACCTCTTAAATTGAGGCATATTACCAATAATGACTCGAGTTCATATAAAAAACTGGCTTTGTCAACTTTGTGCCTTCTAAGTTCATTTGGCTGACTATTCAGAAAACAAAAGGAGAAAGAATAAAACACTAGCAGAGATTTGTTTTATAGAAAAAAGTTTTAAGGTACTCTTTTAAAGTTTTAAGGTACTCTTTATCCTTGAGAGTATGGTGTATATAAAAATTGTTTGTTTTATACAGTGATACAGAATAACAGGGCTGAGAATGTATATGAAGTTATCCTTCAAAATATATTTATAATGTCATTAACATTTAAAAAGCCATCATATGCCACAAAGTATTTATTGACAGTGAAAAAAGCAGAAATACAAAAAATAATCACTCAAGTAAATATTATTTATCCCCAGCAAAGGTCACATATTTGAATGTCACTGTATTCTTTAATATACATCTACAGAGACATGGCCATTTTTCTTCATTATAACATGACTGGACTTCTGCTATCTAGAATGTGTTATATTACTTTTCTTCATTTTTATGTGAATGAACAGACTCAAGCATTCTTTCTTCATTTCATTTTTTGCTCCATGTTATTTGGACAAGTTCTGTGTGCAACTCACCTTTCTCTCTTGATCTCATTTTCATTTATTTTCCTTTATTCCATGCCTGCTTCTTCCAACTGCTTTCACTATTAGCAGAAATGATATACTTACACACTGTGACTGCACTTGATGTCCAGATTCAATGCCAGAAGCTGAATTCAGCAAAAACATCATCATTACCATAGAGCAGTGCCCCTCACACAGTGCATACTCTCAACCAAGTAACTCTTTAAGACAAAATGAAATTCATAGGCGTTTAGGGATGTGAACTATTTGTTTTTTTTCTGTAGCCATTTTCAGAATGCTATTTTATAGCTTCCATTCATTTATTCTGTAAATATGCTAAATTGTTTTAGAATAATTTATCAGGACCACCTATAGTTCTTGCAATGCATATGTACTTATCCTCTTCCATTATGTTTATTCAAAAACTCATCTTTATCGGTTACATATCAAAATGACTTATTCTCTAATGATGCTTGGAATAGGTGTTTCTTTTTGGTATCAACTGTATGCTAGAGCTGAATATAATGGCAAATAATGTAGCACATACTCAATCTAAATTACTGCTTAAAATTAGATCAAATGACTTCCACAAGCAAATTAAGGGAAAAATGTTAGCTTGAGATATACTTTTAACTTGCTAAACCATAAATTAATTAAATATATTATAAATAAAATATTTACTTATAAGCATCCTGCTACATGTTTATAAGTCTTACACGTCAGGATTTAAAATTTTTTAACTATTATTTTTCAGCTGTTATGCACCATGTAGGTAAGATACCAGAGTCTGGGAAAGAATAAATGTTCAGTTGATGGTAATTACCTTTGCTACACCTATGAGAAACCTATATTATCAGCTGATCTTGGCTCTGTCATTTACTGTGTGATCTTGTGACTTGGGCAAGTGACCAGTTCTCTGTGCCTCAGTTTACTCATCTATAAAAAAGATATATTAACAGTATCTACCTCACACAATTGTTATAAGGATTCATTGAGTTGATTATTGTAATGCTTATAGAATAATGCCTGACACATTGTAAGTGGTAGAACAGGAATTCTAACTCAAGTCTCTGACTCTAAAGGCCATGTTTTTATACAGTATGAATTCTTTTCATTAAATTACTAATTACTTCATATAAGTCCACTGTCATCTCCCCTTGCAGTCTTATGTCCCCTTTGCACATAGAATTTATATTAAAAATAAAATTATATGACTGGGGAAAAAGCATAGGGCCAAATACTTTGTTTTTATCTTTCTTTAATATTCTTCCCTTCCTTTCTAATCCTATCTATTTTATCTCACAAGTTGAAGTGCTTTATAAGCTTTATGTCAATAGCAGAACTCTCCATGGCAGGCAGAAATGAAATATAAACATCTATATCCCATAAATTCTCCAAAGCAAAGTCATTTTTCAAACTACTGCTTTAGAATTTGATAATCAAAGCTTCTATGAGCACAGAAAGGGGAAGCAGCTAAGTGCATTCATAGTAGGGAAGCCATCCATGGTTCATTAATAGCATTCTGGGCTTACTAGAGGCAGAAAATATTTCCCTTTGGTTTCCCACACTATTTGAAAATCATTTCAACTTACTGTTTTATATGAAGGAGCAGTAGCAAAGCTAAGTATAGGATCACAATCTAAGGCCAGTAGTCGTAGCTGGCTGACTATGATACTGCACTGGATTCATAAACCTACTGTTTGGGATCCTTGTGGACGTTCCTCCAGATAGATACTGGCAGGGGGTGGTGTGGTTGTGTGTGTGTGTACATATCTATGCAGAACAAGTGTGGGTGGGCATGTAACTATGTATAACTATCTGTTTTTAATTTTAAAATGAAATGCATTCTGATTTAGCAAGCAGAGCAGCAGCCTGACCGCCCAGAAGGTATGACCTCACTAATGTGCAGATTTCCCTAACTTTAACAAGGAAATACACTAGTGTGAATAAGTGTAATCTTGCCCATCATCTCTATATAGTCTCTTGACAACTATATATGTGGATTTCGTTTTTTTCTCATAGATTTTACCTTATTCGATGCTAAGTCTTTCCTATAATACTGCTCACTTGTTCTCTTTTTTACATTTTAACAGTTTTTATTTGTATACCATATATTAACCTGTTTTAAGTATACAACTCAATGATTATTAGTATATTTACAAAATCAGGTAGCCATCACCACAATCCAGTTTTTGGACATTTTTCTTTTTTTAATTTAAGCATAGTTGTTATACACATTATATTGGTTTCAATTATGCAACATATATAAGTACATATAAATATAACATATATAAATCATATATATAAATTATAATTATAAATCATATATATAATATAAATATATATTATAATTTATATATAGTAGAAATTATATATGATTGAGACTGCACTTTATCCCCTTCACCTATTTTACCCACCTTGCACATGAATTTCATAAATACTTTTTGTGGCATTTACCTGACAACTATTTGTCCCTAATTCTTTGGACCTCTTTTTTTATAATATTAACTAGTGATCCAAGTAAAAATAGTTATAAAAAGTTTTAAAACTTTGAGATGTCATATGGCAACCCCCAAAATTATTTCTTTATTTTAAAACATTTGTTGAATATAGATTTATGTATCTTATAACAGAATTCACTATACAAAAATATAATCCACTGGTGTCAAGATGCTATATTGTGTTCATGATACTCCCACCTCAAATCCTTAGACATGAGAGAAAAAATAGATATACATTATTTGCAAAATGCAATTACATGGGCAGATAAGAGGTGTCTTACATGAACAACAACAACAACAAAAGGGAAGAATTAATAAAGAAAAAACAAACAGGATCAGATTAAGTAAGGAAATCATAGTCCAAAATATGCTCAAGAAATGATACCTGGGAGAAGGAAAATGTTAGGAGATGGTGTTGCCAGCTGAAATGAAAATCCTGAAGAGGAACTTCCTGCTGGAAGTTGGGAGAAGATGATGACTTTAATTTGGGTCATGTTACATTCAGGATGCTTGTAGGACATGTAGTGAGAATGTCCAGACAGCAATTAGAAATTTAAATCTGAAGTTCAGTGGAAAAATCTTGACAAATCTTAAAGATCTGAGAGTTGGTAGCAAAAAGTGGTTATTAAACCGAACTATATTTCCTAGAAAGAACCTTTAGGGGAAGGAAAGGAGTTGAACAAGTTTGAAACTCTGTGGCATGCCACCCTGAGGAGGCATCTCTAAAGGTAACTAAAAATGAAGAGCAAGAGGGAGAGGAGGACATGGAGCCCCAAACCTAGGAGAACAGCACGTTTCATCCAGGAGCAAGTGAGCAATTGTATCAAGTGCAGCAGAAAAATTCTGAAAGACAGAGACTGAAAGGCATCTATGGGATTTAGCCCTTGAGAGGTTTTAGTAATCTCAACAAGAGCACTTTTAATGGGTTGGTCCCAGTCAGAAGCCAGACTGCAGAAAGCAAATTGGGAATGAAAGATAAATAGAAATTAGTAGATGGAAACCATTTGTTAAGAAAAATGTGTCTGAGATAAAAAGGCAACAGACAAATCAGATACTAGGTGAAAAAAGAAAAATGAAAGGAATTTTTTTAGAAAAAATATTAGACAACTTATACGTGGAGGGACAGGGAATTAAAGAACAAACATTGGTAAGATAAAACATCTCAGAAGATGGAAAAGTGCAAAATCAAAGACCCTGCTGGAGGATTGACTTTAAATAGCCAAAGCCCCACCATCCATCAGGAACAGGTTCTACTCCAGGAACATTATCTTTTCCTGGGCCCCAGCAAGGGCAACTGGCGAAAAATTTTTACCAAGGTTTTTAATGATACGAAGAGTAAGTAGCCAGAGAGAGGATCTTCTGGACTGCTGGCCCAATCAATTTTATCAGTTACATACATTCTTCCTCCATCCCTGCCAGACCCCATGTCTTGGAGAAAATAAAATCATTAGCTCATCATGCTGACATCCTTCTGATGCTGGAGAGCATGCCTGTGTTCCGGCAGGGTGTGCACGCATCCAT